GGGGCGGGGGGGGAGGTACCGGAGGAAAAGGGAGAGGCGTCTCATGGGAGTTATTCGGCGGATCGCTCCGCGACCAGAGTGATCTCTCTCTCTCGTGAGTGTGAGAGCGATCGATTCGATCGGTTTAGTCGAACAAGTTTGGGCGCACTCAGGGTGGGTTGTATTCGGCGCGAATCCTCTCTCCGGTGGGAGGTCAGTTTCTCCAGCAGAGTTTCTGGCGCGCGGATTTCTTTATCCCGCTCCTGGTGTGGGTGTCACGGCCGATAGATCGTGGCGGAGAGGAGATCGCGGGTGTGCGCGCGCGAAGAATAAACGTAAGGGAACGACATATGTACATACATACGTAACTTGGCTCGCACCGGAGTCGGTTACGAGTGATCCCGATTCGTGTTCCGAGTGCTTCCAGGCAAGATTTTCGAGGAGAGGATCAAGTGTGTGCTCGCACGCCGAAGCATCGGCCCGTGAAAGAACGTCGTCGCGAAAAGTGTGAGTCTCTCTCTCTCTCTCTCTCTCTCTCTCTCTCTCTCTCTCTCTTCCTTTTTTCTCTCTCTCATCTTTATTCGAGATTGCACGATGGAATGTTACTTTTTTAATTCATCTCTCAGCGTCGACAGTGCGCAATTGGCACGTGTTTGGAGCGCACCTCCACAAGCGCAACGTTCCCGCTTCTCTCCCGACCGGCCGGCAAAACTCGACGAGTCGTACTTTTGCACGACGTTCCTTTTTACATTTATATTAAACGAATTGAGAAATCGACGGGAAAAAAAAACAGAATGGAGAATAAACGGAGAAATCTGGACGATTTGATATTTCGTCATCGGCCTGCAGTCGTATTTATATTTTTGGAGTGCTTCAGAGACTTCGGAGCGATAGCGTGGATTACGATGTCGCAATATGATTCCTTCACGACCGTGTATAAAGTAAAAGAAACCGTATGATTCATAAAAAGCCTCGAGCCTGAGCTACTTGTATACGTGAATGTGATATTAAGCGATAGCTCATATTTTTTTCTATTCAATGTCACGCGTAACTCTGTTATATAAATCTTGAAAAAAATTGCAATCGGATTCGAAACAAAACTTCGTCGCTTAATTGATTTAGCCTGTACGTAACGCTCTCTCTAAATTAACTTTATACAAAGCTGCAGGCTTAGATTACGTTATCGATTGTTGTTGGAGTTGATTTAATACAATAGAAAGAGAGAAGTATGAGAGCCACGAAGTTATAAATTTAATGTATTCGCTCTTAAAAATAGAACAATGATGTATTATTTTTTTTTTACTGTACTAAGTTTCTTTATCGGCCGTGAGAGCAAAGAATTATAACATATTGCTTCAAAATTTATAAGTATACAAAATTAATGTAAATAAAAATAGTTAGGACAAAATAGAACACGATATTCTATCTGTCCTCAATCTTTTTCATTCATATTGATTTTTATTTTTACTTACAAATTCTTCATCAATTCGCGATGTTATAACCATTCGCCCTTGATTAATAAGAAGACTCGGTATTAATGAAACCATATATTTTTAAGTATATACATTACATTTATAACAGTCTTGCATATTCATCATTTGACCCTCAGAATCTTTATTACCTATTGCTTTGCAATAAGAGATATCGGCCTTTCATTTTATGGTATATTCTTTAATGGACAATTCAATTTCCGCATAAATTATCATAACGAGCCGCTGCTTGCAGAGATGCGTTACAATTCTAACACGTCGGATTACGTAAGACAAAACGCGGCCCTTGCGCGCTTCAAGGATCAGAAACGCTGAGCGCGAAACCCGACTTCGCGAATTGTGCTCTGCCGGTTACGCAAGTCGGCATTCGTCTATCGTGTTCGCGGAATTTAGGTCAAACGACGTGTCCTCCGCCACTATCGGCGGTCCGACGAAACGTCACGAATTCCGCTCGTTTATTAACTTTTTGCTGTTCCATCGTTGCGCGCGCTCGCGCGCGCTCGCTCGCTCGCTCGCGCGCAGAAACCAGACGGCGATCAAGGTGATCTATAACGGAGAAAAATATACGCGTTGACCTGCGAGTAATGCGATCGATTGAGTGAAGCTACTCGTACGAGACACGCTCGGGAAAGAATAAAATATCCACTGACTTCGTTAGAGGCGGTACTAAATTACAAAAACTTCACTGGGGGGTTTAATAAATGAGAAATTATCCACGCGGAAATTTACATTCTAAATTTGGAATCTATTCTTGATAAAAGAAACTATTTCTTCCTTACTGTTTCTCTCTCTCTCTCTCTCTCTCTCTCTAATACCGACTCTTCATATATCACTTTGTGATGTATATTAATATCTTTCTAAAATAAATGGATGTCGAAAGTCGTGTCGCGTTGCACAGAATGTATAAAGGAAAATAAGGAGCGTAATGATCGTATCGTATGTACTTATACTTTCATTTGGCTTAAGTCAACAAAATGTGAATCACCACGAGTGGAATGGCCGACGCTGACGGCTTGAAATCGGTTGGTGGCGGTCGGTCAATGCCCACGCGCCAGCCACGTGGTTTGACACAGGGCTTCATGCCCGATTATTTCTAGAGTTCTCTGCTCTGGGATACGAGCTTCGTAGTAATTGGCAATCCGAATCTGTCAACATTTGCGCTAATCCCGACTCGATTATCATTGCTAATGAAAACATCGCTGTCGATGAGTCCTCAATATGAAAACGTTAACAATGCTCGATATTGCTCTCTCTCTCTCTCTAAATTCTTTCGAGTAGAATCTCCACTCGAAAGAGTGAAAACCTGGGCCAATCTTGAGGAAAAAATTATTCAATTTTTAATCTTTGAAAGTAAGATTTTATTCTTCACAATGACAGGTCACTCTAAAAGTTTTAGAGTGGATCTTTTCCAACTTATCGTAAAATATTTGTGTATAATATTTGGAATATAGTAATCGGAAGCGAAGAACTGCAGCGGGAACTCTGAGTTCTCTCCTGTCTTTCTCCGAATCTTGAAAACTCTACGCGCGGATGATCCTGGATAATTGGCTATTCGCCCACATCTGTATGAGAAGGTGAATCGTAACAAGATCTAAAATAAGTAGACGATGAGAGAGTACCAGCTAATCCGAACCGTCTCTCTGAAAAAGGTCAGTCGTCTTGTCTTACATCTTACTAATCGATGACTGACATTTCAATGAAACCATCATTCCCTTTTGGACATGTTCAATGAAGATTTATCGGTCCAGCGTACCTGCACGAGGCATAAAACCGGCAGCTTTTTAAAGGCTTTTTCCGTTTCCTTCTTTCCTTTTTCTTCTTTTATTTGTTTTTATGGGAAAAAAAAATGGATTTCTTTAGATCCACAATGTGGGAAATTTTTTATGAAAAGAATCGTGTTTGTACATTACGTTTTTAGGATCGCCATTGGCCGTTCCCGAACGTTCAACGTTCAGAACTTCTTCTGTGTTATAAATGAAAAGAATAGTATTTTAATATTTTATTTTTCATAACGCGGTACATACGAATGGAAATTTCGAAATGCTGATCCAAGCAACTCACTGGGTGACAAATGTTCCGTAAGGGAGAAAACTCTTCTCGCGAGCTCAGCGTAGGTCCCACTTGGCCCCCGTCTATTTATAAATCGATACATAATATAATACACATTTGACACGTGTCATATATCGAAATACAAAAGGCGATGCTTGACAAATCAAGCTTTGAAAACAAATCGGCTAATTTCACTCGTGGCGAGTCGAATTCGAAAGGAGATGCGAAAGGGGACGTTTGTAGGAAAATGATGATCAGCTTAGTTGACGATGCTTGTTGAACTATGGAAACCATTTCAGCCGCCTCGGCCTACTTAAGCGGTGTCGTTATTTTTAGCATTAGGGTCACCACTGCCGTATAGCTGGCTTTGGTACCATCCTTTCTTCCTACGATTTCAGTCTAATTTTCTCAAGATCCTTCGCGACTCATCGTTTTCCATGCTACTGATTTCTGTCACAAATTCAATCATAAATTCGATCGATCTACGTTTAGATCAAGAGATCTTTCTTATAGAGCAATAGGGAAAAAAAGATTTGCACAAGATTTTACATTACTCGAATATGTGCCGTGTAAATTAATTTCGGAATGTACGCTATAAAGTCATGTTTCGAATTGTACAGTTTTCCACGAGTTTCTTATTACGTGCGAGACACGCGAAAGACGAAATGCGGCAATTTGTTTGTTGCAGAATTATCGGAAAATCGCACGGCAGGTCAGCACACCTGATAGCGCACCAGCTGGTCTCGGCAGCCCGCAGGGTGGTATTGGCGGTTTGCAGCAACAGCACCAACAACAAACGCAACAATCTTTGCACCAGCCCGATCCCATGCAGCAAACCAAGGACAATCTCAATCCCGCGGCGAACCAACAAACGGGCGCCCTCAGAAACGGCAACCCGCCACCACCTGTCGTGTCCATGGTAAGTTTTCGAACCTCTCTATTAGAATTGTTTCAATTACACGGATAATGACAGATTTCTCTTCGTCGCGTTCTCTCTTCCATTATAACAAATATTATTCCGATAAAAAACTCGAAATGTGCCAAATGTCCTGCACCTAAGACACCGATTTAAGAAAATTCGTAAGATTGGAAATCTTAGACCGCCATCGTAGTCGATTCTTATATTTAATACTATCTTAAGTGCAATCTTAAGACAGTCACGAATCAATCAGAGAGCAGTATTAGCGTCTTAAGACGTGTTACTTAAGACGCTCTTGAAATAAGAATGGACTATGAGTACCGGGCTGTGTAAAAAGATTTTACAAGGATCACCTTATAAAGATCAAATTGAACCGGCCGGGACATGTAAAAGCAATTTTAACGTTCGCGAAGCGACGTTGCTCGCGACGGTCCATGACTGCAAAGGAATCGACTGCCGAAATAGCGGCGTAACATGGAGGGCAAGGGTAGACTACCGGCAGACAGTGAGTGCGGGGGCGGTGACCGGCCGCCAACGCGAATCAATACCCGCAGGAACAGGAACCACCGACCTACCGAGAGAGACGGAGAGAGAGATAGAAAGAGATGGAGACAGAGAGAGAGAGAGAGAGAGAGAGAGAGAGAGAGAGAGAGAGAGAGAGAGGGGAAGAGGAGAACGACGTATCCCGGGGACGAAAGGAGAGAAAGAGAGAAGCGATGAAAAGCGAGCGGTATCAAGAGGTGGAGCAGAGAAGTAACGATACGATAGAAGCCGGCAAGGGTAGCCGCTCGGCGCGTCGCAGGGGTACGCCGAGGTACGCCGGGATAGACCGTCCTCGCGATTCCTATATGGTGATTCTTTTAATACGTATCGTCCCGTTTTCTTCGTCTGCCAATATTAACATTTTAATAATTCCGTTAGAATTGCGTTTCGGGATTGAGAATTAAATTCGGCGCGCGGTTTGTAGGATTGGATTCGATTCTCCGAAATCTTCAGAATGGAGCGTAACTCGGTAGAGTAAAATCTCACTTTTATTTTTTTTTTACATTGACAACTGAGCCACTCAACAGTGATTCAATTGTCGCTCTTTTTGAGAGTTAAATTTTGCTCGAAAGATTTTCGAGGATATATTATAGTATATAAATTTGTTGAATTATTTAAGTACTAAAAATCCAGGTTGACCGTTCAAAATTTTTATTTGCTACCTTTGTTATGTACTCATATTAAAAGGTCGAAAGATACTTTTTGTAATATTATTAATAATTCTTGCCATTTCCCCCCCCCCTCCCCCCGTAACAACGAACGATTGCGGATCCTCGAAATAATCGCGGGTGCTGGGACGCGCAATTTGGACGATAAATGAATCATCTTCACATGGTCATTCATCTGTGTGACACGTGAAATTCTCTACGTGTGTATTCTTTAATGAAATAAATTGCATATCGATATATATGGATAAAGCTAGTCCCAGATTGCGCACGATTCGTGATACGAAGCAGTTGCGGAACTCGCAATTTGCTATTCGTATGGGATTTGCAAATAGTGCAAATGGACATATATTTGTCGAATTTGCATTCGCCGTTTACCATTCGTGCCAATGCGCCAGTGAAGCGGTTTTGTCGAAATCAAAGGGCGCGAATCACCACGACTCGCACGTAGTCTGGCACAAGCTTAAGAGGGATGCTGCATATCGCGTTTTGCGTCGGCGATAAAAATTCGTAACCTTGCAACTGAAACGCGTTTTTTTTTTAGCGTTCTGTTCGTCGAAGCGAATTTTTATTCCACACACAGCGTGCATTGAACTTACTAAGCGTTCTTCAGACAAAAATCTCAAATTATTCCCTCAATATTGCACCAATGTCAATATTATAATTTCACACTCAAGAATATAGATATAACACATATAGGTGTTACACATAACGATTATATTGTTGAGTGTGAAATTACAACATTGATGCTATGTTATTTTTTAAATTATTGTCGACTAGGAAGGCTATGACACACAAAAAAAAACGTAAGCAGTAGAACGTAGCAGTACCAACATGACATATTTTAGAAATATTTACAAACTATTTCATTATTGCAAGATCGTTTGTAAACATTTCAGAAATTTTACATGAAATTTTTCTAAAATATAAATATGTCCGGGAAGTTCGAGTTTTTAAAAAAGTATTCTTTCACTTAGAATATTTGTACAATATACTTTTAAAATATTTTTGCGAAATATTTTAATACAATATTTCAAAAAAATGCTTCACATAAATATTTTAGACGAGCTTTATACGTACATCTGGTGAATCGTCATTAAAACGCGAGGAGCGGAAGAAAAGATTCAGTTAAAATTACAAATCATCAATTACGAATCTTCAATGAAAAAAAAATCGAACCGAAAGTCACAATTACATCATACAATCCCAAGATACATCATATAATCACGAAATGCTATTAATTCACCCGAATCGAAATTGTCAATTAATCGGAACGTTGCCGCACGCAGCCGCGGTCATCTTAATTTGCATAATATTTCGATATATTTCGTGTAGCGTTCAACATTTGCGTAAAATGCATACGTACATATATAAACGATCCAATTTGTTATCTTTATCGGTAGCTTTATTGTTAGCTTTATTGTTGCAATATCGATATCACTTCCAGACGTAATAAACTTCTACACTCGCGAAATACGATATACGTCACGGTTACAAAATATAATCCGCTGATAGTGTGTGTCGCTCCCTTTCCGCGTTGCATTTAAACGCGGGAGCGTTTCTCATTGATGTCTACGCCCGGCGTTAATTGTGCATTTCGCACGTTTAAACGCGGGTATATCCGACTACTGCGGTGCGAACACACGTTCGGTGTCGCACGCGGCACGATAATTGCTAATGCCGCGGCGATAAAGGAATCATACGTTACGGCGGGGGTCCGCATTCGTCGGAGCGTCCAATTATGCAATAAACCGAAACCGCGAAATGCCGCCGTCTGATCGTTGGCGGTGCGCAAATTGCGAATTGCGTTCCCGTCGCCACGTACATGCGGTTTAGCCGCACGCGAACGTTCGCGGAAAGCGAGAGGGTTACACCTGTTACCCACCTCCGTCTCTCCCGCGTTGAAAATTCCCTCTTTGAGATCCAGGCACGCGTCGCGTTGCATCGATTACAGTGGCCGTAAACGCGGTGTTGAAACTCACCACCCACGGTGGCGTAAGATCGCGGAGAAAGCGAGGGAGTGTGGTGAAGAGCCGGCGAAGAGCGCGGTCGGGGTCGACAAACTCTCCGGCGAATATCCGCCGGAAGGGCAACTTGGCTCCCGAGGGTCATGTTTGGGTGCTGTCACAAAACGTTCCGTTTTATCACGCCAGGGTCTTAGGTTACCCTAGGTCACGATGCCACGAGAACGGAAGGATTTTCTCCCTGAGGGAGAGACAGGGCGCGCGTGCGTGTGCAGTGTGCGCGTAAGATGGAAGAGAAGGAGGATGATACCGAATGAAAGGTATCCCGTGCCACGCTTGGCGAAACGCCCAGCTCTTTGACGCTATCAGCCTCGACCACAAACACCGATTCACGGCCACTGCGAGGGTTCTCAGAAAGAGAGAGAGAGAGAGAGAGAGAGAGAGAGAGAGAGAGAGAG